TATGCTTGATTAAGAACAATTATTGATTCTAAATATTTTCAAATTGACAGATTATGAGATTATCAGACCACTAAAATACTAAATTAATGATTAATATTTTAGTTTGGGTGTGAGTTATGGTTCCAAAAGCTTTATTTTATTATTCGCAATTAAAAATTTATTTCCACTTTAGTTAATAAATAATATTCAAATAGGAAGACTTAATTTTTTGCTTTTAGAATAGTATTTGCTGTATTAGGATTAAAATGATGTTTTAATTTTGTTTAATTTTGCAGAATTTGAGGTCTAAATTGATAATTTTTAATCTGAAAATATTACCGAACGATAATATAATTTTCATGTGGTTCCTATAGATTCAAAAAATTCTCCTCTGAATTTATCATTCACTTTACAGTATTACAACAATTGCTATAAATTGATTTCAAAATCTAAACATGCTTTATTAAATTATTCTAAAAATAATACAACTCAAATTTAAACAAGTAAATATTTTTTTGGTCCTATCGACCAACTTACAATAGTAGAAAAGGAAAATTTTAGAATCGATGGCCCATTAATTCTTTCTGAACTGACGTTATCAGACAATATTCCCAAAGAATTTAAAATAAAAACTATTGAACAAGAGAAAATTTTCACTAATGCTCCGAACATTAAAATGAAATTGGTATAATTTGAAAATAAGTCAATAATTCTAATTAATAACTTAGATTAATTTAAAGTTGACTATGAAACCGAGCTTTTAGTTAATATGTTTTAAATAAATGAATAATCTATTTTATTTTTGTTTCTTTCTGACCAATAAAGAATAAATGGAAGGATTTATTTAATAGATGAGATAAAATGTAATTTAAGATAGGATCCTATATTTAAAATAAATATAAGTTATTAAACCTCAGATCCAGTTCTATAAAGTTTTAGAACTGGAAATTTAATTGTAATTCAAACTTAAAATGAATTATTAGTTTATTAAATTGTTGAATTTAGCATTAAGAAGATCGACCTCGAATTTTAATTTAATAACTTTCTTAAGATCAATGGATATAATTAACTCTATATATCACAAACTTTCAAGAATAACATGAAAATGCTCCTTTTTCAAATTCTACTTTTTAATGGATTTCAATTTGAAATATAAGGAACGGCAACTTTATAAATGACTTTTATGTTCAGTTCACTAAAAAAGCAACTTAAACTAACCTAATTAGATTTTCTAAATGAATTTTCCTAATATTATTTCTTAGAATGTATAATTGAGGATGAAACAGCAAAACTCTTACTCTTGTAGATTATCAATAGATATATAATTATAAGTGAAATTTTTATCACGATGTAAAATTTTGAAATTTCTTACAGTCCATTAAAATTTATACGAAATAGTGCTAATTTTGTTAGTCTACATTTAGAATACTATTATGAAAATAAATTAATTCTAAGGTCATCTTCTGATGAAACATTCTTTTATGATTTATCAGAGCAATAAAATCTATATGATTATATTGGAAAATAGTCAGAATCCAAAAATTAGTATCACAAACTTAATACTACACATTTTCTCATATACGAACCTAGGGACGATAAGATTTTCATTGCAACAATTGGTTATCAAGTTTAAATTGATACAGAATATGAAGGAAATAAATCATTTACATTAGAGGCACAAAACAGGTTATCACAAATAAAATTAACAGTATAAATTTAAGATATCGATGATGATCAGATTGATGATAAAAACAGTGTAATAATCTTCTTATTGATATTTTTTGTGATTTTTGTTTTATATTTTCTTATTCGAAGAATGAGATTAAAGCATAGATAGGTTAAGAACTAGAATTTTTCTGGCCTTTAATGAAAATTAATAACAATAAAACTGGTGAGTAATTATTATCATAAAAATATATATATATAATTTTAACTTTAACTTTAAATTTACACATAATGACTTTATTTAATTAGATAAATAATATAATTATCTAACAATATTGAAGATCCTTAATATTTCTGCTCCTTCATTAATTAAATTCATCTATCAATGTAAAACTGAAATGAAATAGCCTTACATTTAAAAAAAATTGTTAACTGGCTTTAATTTTTATAGAACCAATTTCTTTTTAGATGTAACAATGAGAATTTAATAGAAATAATAATTGCTTTTTATAAATATTATTTCTAATCATATTTCATTCTTGTTATTATTGTTATTCTTGCTATTCTTGTTATTCTTGTTATTCTTGCTATTCTTCTTATTCTTCTTGTTCTTCTTGTTCTTGCTATTCCTGTTCTTGTTCTTGTTCTTGTTCTTGTTCTTGTTCTTGTTCTTGTTCTTGTTCTTGTTCTTGTTCTTGTTCTTGTTCTTGTTCTTGTTCTTGTTCTTGTTCTTGTTCTTGTTCTTGCTATTCTACTTCTTCTTGTTATTCTTGCTGCTCATCTTATTCTTCTTGTTCTTGTTCTTGCTATTCTACTTCTTCTTGCTGCTCTTCTTATTCTTGCTATTCTTCTTATCCCTGAGCCCCTAATGACAATTTGTACATAAATATAGCTTTGACTAAAGATTATTTTCATAATTACTATAAATCTATTAATATTCTTGATTCAAAGGCGATATACTTATAGCTCTATGTGCAGAATTAACTGCTGCTTTAAAGTCTCCAGTTTTTAATAAAGTTTTTGCTAAAATTATAAGATTACAATATATACCCATGTGGATGTAAGCAAGATGACAGCTTGGATTAACCTTTATGGCTTCAGCAAGCCAATATATGGCATTATCATCTTCATCCATCTTCTCTAATGTAATTCCTAAAGTTAAGCATAGATAATTTACCAATATGACATTTAGCTGCATCATCCTATGGGTTTAATTGAACGGATCTGTTAAAACATGCAAGCGCATCATCGAATTTATATAGGTTCAATAGCGATTTTCCTTATTTTTAGTTAAATTAGAATATACCAGCAGTATTCCAAATCTAATAGACCTTTCCATTGAGTTTAAGGGCTTAATTTAAAGTCATAATTGCCTCTTCAAATCTACCTGTATTATATAGACACCTTCCTAAAATGGTCATTTTCTCATTTACCTTTCTGAAAATAAGCTTCATAATTAGTTGGTTATATTTAGATTAATTAGTCAAAACTTTCAATAGCCTCCTGATATCTGTCTAAATTATATAATGTCATTCCTAAAGTGATTAAGTTAGATTGAATTCTACCTTTCCTCAAATAAGCATCATAACACTTTGGATTATTTTTTATAGCCATATTGAAGTATTCAATAGATTCTTCTTCCCTACCCAAATTGAATAATGCTTTTCCTTAAAAATCAGTCGAATTAAACCATACCCATAAGTAAATTTATCAAAGGATGATTAGGTGTTATTTCAAGGGCTAAGTCAAAACACTCGACTGCTTCTTCTTAACGATTTAAATTAAATAACGCATATCCTTGATTATTGAATTCTAAAAATACCCCTATTGCCAAGTGCGATGTTACCTCTTGGATTAATTTCAAGTGATTTGTCAGCATATTCAATTGCCTCTTCAAAGCGATCTAATTAAATTAATGCTCCAGCTAAAGTAAACTTTCAATATTATTTACAGATGGTAGCATAAGGTACATAATTAGTCTAACTTAATTCAATAGCTTTTAGACAATATTGAATTGACTCTTGACTCTTTTTTAAAGCTGCTAAGATCCTTCCTAAAATATCATTTTTCACTAAGCATACCCTTGATATCATAGGCTTGTGAATAATTTTCATCTAATTGAATTATCTCATCACAAGCTTCTAAGCCTTCTTCGTATCTATATGACATAAGTAATGCTCTTGCTTAAATTAATTTATCCTTAGGATACCTTTAACAGAATATGCAAATTTATCAATCTCGTTTTCCTAAATTGATTCATCGCACAACTCAATAGCCTATTCGTAATATGCTAAACCAACTAATGCTGATGCTAGAATTCAAATTGCATTCAAAATTACCTTTCAGAATATTCAGCAACTATTAATTCTCACCAAACTTTTACGCTTCCTAATAAAAATTATAAGCTGCACTATAAGCATCCGAGCTCTCTAGTGCTAACCCTAGATTCAGGATGAAAAAATTTATTACCAACGTAAATTAGAGTTGTTTGATTTTGGGGTTTGATCTTAGAAAAACTTTCGAATGCCTCTTAATATCTCTCTAACTTAACTAATGCTATCCCTAAAACAGTTTGTGGATATCTATACCTTTGAGATAATGCAGTTATATATTTTCTGGATTTATAGCAAGTGCTTTATTAACACATTCCAGAGCCTCTGCATATTCATCTAATCTTATTAAAATATTTGCTAAGGAATTAAAACATATGAATACATTTATGCATTAATAGCTCTTCGTCGTTCTTTTTGTTATCTTTTAGAAGTTCGTTCTCTTTGATTTTTTCTTCTATCTCAGCGAAGGCTTCATAATAATTTTTCTCATCCAATAATTGCTTCACTATAAATCTGATATGTATGATTACATTTTAATAAGTCTTTGTCAACAATCTCTGTCTATTCGGGTTCGACTAGGTCAATAATTTGAGGTTATCTTATAATTTTTTTATTGTTATTTCTTCTCCTAAACATTATTCTAAATCATTTTCTTTAGGTTTGAATGATAATATCTTCTTTTTATTATTTAATTTAATAAGATTTCTATTATTTTTTAATTAAATTAGGAGACTTTCTGATGAATTCGGACAATTTTTGATAATGAAACTACTAATCTAGATGTCCTTCATAATAAAGTTATGTGAATTGAAGAGTATTCGTATGGAATGACCTTAAAAGTACCGATAATAGAGGAAAAATAAACCTATCTAAAACATAGAATAGCCAATACATTTATTCATGATTTCTTAAAACTTACTATTTGTTGAATCTGTTTGAATGAATCTATAATAATATCAATAAGTAGTGAATATTTTGGATTTTGCTCATAGTATTCCTTTATATATCTTTTCACTTTTCAATTAAGATATTTTTTAACTATCGACTATTTATCAGTGCTATTTGTAATTAATTCGTGTGATTGATTATGTTTGGATATTTAGTTTATAACTTGATAAACTAGCAGTCTATTAAGTGATCTTATTCATCATATGAAACTTTCTTTTTTGCCACCTGATATATTGATGAATTTATTCTTGGTATATTAATAGCCAATTCAAATGGCAAGACTTAAACGAGTTTATAGATTGAACAATCTGAATTATACATCTTGTCAGAAAGAAATACAGATTCAATAAGAATTTGCGTAAATTTTGGTCAAATTGTTATCACCTACTACCCTTCAAAAGTAGCAAATTTAAGTGTGCAGTTTCGGTTTATAAGGAATAAGAGACTTCCTTTAGATAGTTCACTGCAAATGGTAGCAATTATAAAGAAAAAAGAATTTTCTGTATTGGTTGAATTGAAGAAATTTAAGCAAGAGAATTAGTTTCCATTTGCAAAGAGAGCTCAAACTGATTGTAATCAAAATATGTTTGGATGCCTTAATCTTTATCTAATTGATATTAGTATATGATTTAAGTAACTACCAGAGATGTGATATATATTATAAATAAGATTTACTCAGAAAACTTAGGGACTCGAGACTAATAATATATACTTTTGATTAATCCAAAGGAAATGAAAAATGACTTTAGTTGGTTGAAGAGTAGATTAATAAATGCTTTGCCATAAACCTAAACAGAAACCTTTATAAAAATACCATAAGGCCATTTCAACTATTATTTAATACATTTAGGCTCTAGCCTTGGAAATTACATCATCTCTAGGCGGTATATTAAGAAGAAATCCAGATTAAGGTTCTAAATTCAGAATTCAACTCAAATTTGAGAATAGATTCCACGTAGAAATTAATCTTAACAAAGTGAAAATTATAATTATTTACAAATTAACAAATTCTAGAATC